GTCCCTCGGCAATTACGGGTAGTTCGTTTGTTAGGAGACCGCGAAACATGGCTTCGTTTGTCCACTTGGTTGTCCTGCGAAAAAAGAAAGAACAAAAAAAACAGCGGAACTGAAAACAAAGGTACCGACCCATATGTCAAACCGGATTTCTGGCTTCCCCAAAAAACCAACACAAAGACAGAACCATTCATCTCAAAATTGGATTCGGCTTCCTTCGGCTTTTGGCCTTCCCACGGGTTCCAACCACCCGTGTCTGTCCTTCCCCGCCTAGTCTGCCCGCCAAGGCAAGCTACTGGACTGCTGCACCTGAAGCTCGGTGTTCCTTGAGGCCTCTGGATGTACCCAAAAAAAGGTACCCAGAACCATGTAGATAATTAAGAAGGCGGCCGCAACTATTTCTGGCTGGGACTGCCCCTTACTAACTTGTATTTATCGGGTTTTGATTATTCTGTCTCATTGTGCGAGGTTTAAAGGACGCCTTGGTGGACATCATGTAGGTGGGGATTCGTGCTCACCAACCACTTTGGAGGTGGTTTCCCAGCACAATCCATAGCCATATTCAATCCACACTTGCAGGAGGCCCAACTTTCAGTGTGGTTTGAAGGGAAACCAAGGGAACGCCAACCATTGGTGTGGTCGCCATATGTGTCACAACAGGAATCTGGACCCGACAAATGGTTTCGTCTGTCCTTTTGGGTTGAACCTGAAAGCACAACACAACCATATTTTATGTGGCACCAAAGACTGGTACCAACATGACATTCTTGTACAAGCAACCAGGTGCAAGAACAAACAGAGAAAATTACAATAAAGCCGGTCACGCCATGATTTGGATTAGCCAGGGGCTGAACTGTGGCCACCCCAAGCCGCTCCTCAATAGGCCAAAACAAACTCTTAGTGCGATGAGCCAAATTTGGCGTTGATGTCGCAGATGTTGCCAGATCCTTGAATATTGTTCAACATCCTGCAGGGCCTCTCAGCAAAAACCCGTGTTCCTGAGTTGGGTGGTCAAGAGGTTGCTGTGCGACATTGGCATTGCTGGTGGTCAGAAATCAAAAAGCAACACGGAGAGGCCATAGCTCAAGTTGTACCCCTTTCCCCAACTCCCAGCGACTTGTTCTTGAAAAGAAATGACACCTTCGCCTTGAGAGGCACGAATGCTTCCACGCAGCCGTGGGACCGTCAAATTCATGCCATGTTTTCTTTGGTAAAATAGATGGCACTGGCAAATGATTAGAAACCTACCAGTGCCATCTATCTTCAACCAAACTGACCTTAAAAGTCCAACGGATCCTGCTTGACCGCCTCAGCCACTGCGACCAAACCCCGCCAAGGGATCGAGGCGCATGTTCGGAGACGTCCTCCGTGGACTGGTCACGGTGCAGGAACAAAGGCACAGGCTTCACCGGCTTCACCTTCCGCCTTGGCCCTTCCTCAGTGCCGAGACCCGAGAGCCCTTCCGATCCCTAGGCTCTCTCTGAAGAACAACATGAAGCTTGGGCCAATGCCGTGAATCTTAGGCCTGTGGCCTATAACTTGTGACTCGGCAAAAGGTTTCTACATGTGTCATGGTCCAAACTCAGTTGCGAGATCGCTTACCCCATCCTTCTGACCGTCAATACCGTGGGCTTCATATGTCCATATCGTCAACTCATGGCAAATCCCAGGCCATAAAGTGAGCGATGGACTCCCAAGTCAAAAGGAAAGAACAAGCAGTTTTCCAAAACCATTCCTTCAGCTTCCATGCGGGAGGGTATCTGTTGCCTAGTTCTCCTTGCGCGTTACCTGTCAACTAGCCACGAACTGGGCAAGAGACCGTCGCAGACCTTCTTGTTTGGGGTCAGGCGGACCAAGCGGCATGACAGGCTCAGATGCAGGCCCGCATGGCTTTCCCTCAAGCTGAATTGGAATCGCCCCGTTCCATCTGATTTCCTGCAAACCATCAAACAAACGGGCCCGGAAACGAAGCACATGTCGTAGTCCATCTTGATGACCAAGAAGACGCTGTTGCCACCGTTGCCAACTGTTGTGGATTGCAAGGGTTTCTCCAAAGCTTAACCCTCACTTGGCCCAAAAACCAGCAAACACAAAACAAAATGTTCAGATTATGGTTCATACTTAGTCAGCCTTGCATTAGGCAACTTCCCTACAGATCAAATGGAGCTGACAACGGGGTTGGTGAATTACACAAACGTGAACAGTATAGCTATGAATTTCAACGGGGGGACCACCACCTAAATGATGTCCACCAAAGGGTCCCCAGCTAAAAATTGACAGCCATGCACAGTACGGAGGAAATCAATTTCGCACCACTTCAGAAATTCTGGATTGATTCCCCTGTAAATACCACAATGAGTGTCTTTCTATGGAGACCCCTTTTCGGCGCGTGTTCGAAAGGGAAGCCAAGGCAAAACCGACCAAATTGGGGATCTAGTATTTTAAGATAACCCCAAATGGCTTCAACTGTGGATGCACGAAATCCTGCTCAGAAACCCTTCTCTGATCATTTCGCCTGAAAATACCAAGATGTTGTTCAACCATGGGCTCATTTCGTGCGAAGCAAATTTCGTCCATATTCATTGGCCACTCGACCTCTCGACCTGAGACCTCCCGCGGAGGCCCTTCTGGCTCGCATCTCCTGTCGCGCCCAAGAATCCCTCACGTTTTTGGGTGGGAAGGTCTCGGATTTTTTTGCCCACCCACGGTTTACCAACCACATATGAAACTTGTTTAGTATGTTCAGGGGCGAAATCATGTCACAAGAGCTAGCTGAGCAACGCTTGACACTCCTGCGCCGTTCATAGGCTGCACTGATACGACATACACATCGGCTACTCACATGAATTCTATGCTCTTTGACTGATTACGTAATGACAGCCACAACATCCATTGCGGGACCCTAACCTTCAGATCGTCACAATGACCAAGCAAAACTTCCGGCTACTCAGCCGCAATAATCATCATTACTATGCATTGACTACGGATCCTCTGTTTGGGCAAGCACTTGCGTTGGCCTTTGCTCATGGTAAAAACCTCCCATGTCTGGCATGGGGCCCTTTGACCATGGCAGATATGGGCCAAAATGGAGGACCGGGGGACACATTATTTTCAGTCTGTCTTCCCGGTTTTCAAGAAAGCAGGGCTTGGCAGCTATCCGATTCTAGAGCCACAGCCGTATGCAATCCCCAACTCCCACCCTTTGGCCGAAGGCTCCCCATACTTCCCCACTACCCGGCTGGCACTTAAAGCAATTCAGCTCCCTTCAAATCCCTGGTGATCTTTAAATCCAACAGAGGAAATATGCAGTGCCCTTCTAAAACCGCCAACAACACTAATCAAAGACGAGCCGTGGGGCCACGAGCCACCTGCCCCCCAGCCCCAGTCCAGCGCGGCTCGGCTCAGCACTGGGAAGGCGGCCTACAATTGATCAAGCGCAGCTGCATTGACCGATTTGACCCTCATACATTCCATTACGTTGTATTTATGCGTTTCCATGTGTTCATTGCTTCGGGAACAGTTTGTCTAGTTTATGTCTATGCTTCCTTTTGTATTCATTGTTTAAGAAACATGGTCCCTTTAAAGTGGAACAACGAAAGCTGGAGTCCTTCGGGCTCGCCTAGGGTGCCTTGTGGGAACAGCCAAAAAGGCATCCCGTAACCGAAACTCATGGCCTTGAACTGAGCTCGAGTGTGTGGCTCACATCTCGGAAGCACCTCATTCGTTGACAAGAGCACCGAGCGTGAAAGCTGCCTGCAGACGGCACCCCGATCCCTTGAACCACAAGTATGATCATTCCCAGGCTCACCATCAAGAGCGATTCAGATTAATTCATAGCCGCGATGCGGCTGTCATTGGAAACCGTAGATCGACCTTCCAATCTGACTGCGAACCCTTTTGGACAGAATTGCACCGTCTCCGCAACTACATGTGGTTGCGTCTTGTTGCGAGGGGTCCCCCCAAATTGGCTTCGGTTTTCTTTTTGGTTTCCCTTTAAACCAACCCCAACAAGGGTTCCCTCAAAAACATGCCACCCATGTCTGCATTAAGGATTGTGAATAACAACCCATGGCACAAGGTGTCACTCACCACCATGGCACATGACCTTTGAACCATGGCATCCATGTGATTGCCAGATTCGGATCTTGGTAAGGACCAGAATGGCAACTCCTCCATCCAAAATACTGGACCCTCAAAATACCTACAAAAAATGGGTTCAAAATTATTGGGTAAAGTGAAATCCGGCCCTTTTTTTCTGGGCAGTTTGAGGGTCCAGGTCAACTGTGATTCCACCATGAATCACTACGACTACTTTCAAATGGTATGCCCTGGGCCACAGAAAATGGCCGGCCCTCATACTCGACATGCCCCATAACCTTCCTGGGTATGGGTCGAAAATAGGTATAAACCCTGGTAAATGGACAGGACGAAAACCTGCAGTATGGTGGTTGAATTTGGACCCACATCCTCTCCTTCCGTCTTGGTTGCTGTTGACCCCTCTGCAAAAAGCTTCACTTTTTGCGGGTCCAATGGAACATTCGAGCTGTTTCAACCAAAAACTTCAAGTCCTTAAAGATAAACCACAGATTTCTTCGCGCATGTTCCCATGGTTGCAATCCATTTCAGAAAATGGGTGAGCCTACCGTGGATGGACGAAATCCTGCACCACCTAAGAAGCCCTGGTTTCTGATGATTCCCAGGAAACCAACAAGTGTTATGGTTTCAACCATGGCTTCAAAGGTGGTGCGAAGGGATGTCGCAACCATCCACAGTCAGAACAACCACACATTTCTTTGCCCATGTATGCCCATGTTTCCATGGTTGCAACATTTTTCTCCCGAAAGAAAAACAAATCAGCCCATGAAAAAGCTGAAACATCCGCCATCACCCTGAAAATGGGGCTGAAAATGAGGCTGATGTTTCAGCCCCAGGCATCGCGCGCTGGTGAAAGCGTGGCCCCTGAGGCGCCTCCTTCAGACCTTCAAGCTTCTTCTTCGTGGCCGTTAGCCTGGCCTTCGGATGGCAGTGCCCCCATCGGGTGCCCGGTACTCGGGTTACTCGGGGGTGGGGAAGCCAAAAGGGAAGCCCAAAAGGGAAACCACAGATTTGTGGGGGTACCATTTTTCTTGGGGCTGATTCCTTGTCCATTCTCTTTTTAACCATCGATCTTTCCAAAAACCGGCCGTTTTCCCTCGGTTTCCGGAGGTTTTCTAGAAAGAAGGATCCCTAGAAAGAATGGGGAAGGTACCCCTATAATTTTTAAGGGTTGGTTTGAAGTTAAAAACTTAAGGGAAGCCAAAGGGACTCATGGGAAACCAATCAATATTTGTTGTCGCCTAAACAAAATGACGCGCCCAAATGGACCCTTAGGCCAAATTGAAAGGGAACCACGAGAAATTGGAAGCTTCTCCGTGCTTCAGAACCCAGAGAGCCCCTTTTAAGAGGGACATGGTGATATAGTCAAGGTCCATGCATCGGAGGTACGGGAAAGTGTGGCATCTGCCAAAAGGGCTCAAAGGAAGGAACGAACCTTCGCAGAAGATTCAACCGGCGAGTGAGGTCGCGACTTTTGGCTAGTTTCATACTCTCACTGGCAAAGACCTGGACCATAACTTGTCCACGACCCAAAAGGATTGGGAACCACATGTTGTTTGGGCCCTTTATGGCTATCTGGACCTCCATTGGAATCAGTCCCTGAAACAAAGCAAAAATATATAAAGAATATGTCCAGCAGTGATAGATTCGCTTCAAACCAACAGAGGAGGAAAACAAAACAAAGTAAGCAAATGGAAGTGGAGAGTTTGCCAGACCTTCCACGCTAAACCCACACCAACCCAACCCTTGTCCAGCGCTAAACCAACCCGACACCAACCTTAAGCCAACCGTAAATTTGAAACCCACCCAACACCCTTTCTAAGCCCACCCTAATCCCACCCCAACCCCACCCACCGTCCCGCTCCTCAAAGTAAATACTCACCTGCCGGATCTCCTCCTGGACCTCAGTTCGATTGAATCGGAGGGTGTGCTGGATTCGGCCTCGGACGAGAACCCCCCAGGTGCTGAATTATGCAGGCTTCCACCCCACGAACGGAAGCTCACGTAACCCAGCAGGCCGGTTCATCCAAACCTGCCGCAAACACGCCATGTGCACCAAGAACGACGCCTGGACCCCCCCCACCCCCGCACCCAACGTGCCAAAAACGCGCGGTGCGCGCGTTTTGTCGAAGGCTGGGGCACCAGGCGCTCAGGTTGGCACGCCACACATCGCAGCGCAGCGCCACCAAGTCCTAGTAGGACCCACACAACTCGTCCAGTTGGATTCTTAAGCGCCCCCTTAAAAATGTAACATGCTTAAAAACATGAGAACATATGTCCGGTGGCAAACCCCAAGATTGAAACCAACAAGGGAAAATTATAGTCCATGTTTTGCATAAATAATCAACACATGCTAGATGGAAGAAGTTCCGGTGATTCGGTGCTTGGCCATCCCCGTTGCCACAGGGAACCATTGACAGCTTGTTGGCCCCCCACAACCAGGAAACTTCTTACCCTAGAACAGGCTCTTGGGTTCTGAGAACATTCTGGTGGGCAAGGCCCCAATGATTTATGGAACGCTCGAACCGCGGGGGCTTTGTGCCTGTAACCCCTTGGCTTGGCATTTCTCATTTCGAGAAACGTGAATAAAATCGCCAGCCGGTCCTTTGTCTTGGCTCCCCCAAAGAAAAACAAACACAACAGCAAACATGTGCTTAGATCCTGCTTTAAGTCTTGGTCAACCTTGAAAGATAACCCATTTTTCCAGACAGTCATGGTGTATTCTCCAATCCAAAGACCTGCAGCTGTCGCCCCGCAAAGAACGGCCTTGTTTTGGGCATTGCCCCGGGACCGCAGGACGCCCTCCACGAACTCGTTTCCTCGGCACCAAGCAGGATGTTGGGGTGTCAAAAAACGCGGACTGGTTTCTTTTTTTTTTTGGTGGGGTCCTTTTGGTTTCCCAAAAGAAAACACACCCTGTTGAGCTGTTTGGTGCGATTGTTGTGGTCCTTGGGATAACATGGAGGTGTTCCCCGGTCGCGATCATTGCCCCTTAGAACCTTTAGGAACAAATCAAGCGTCGATCGGGTTGACGAGTGGCCTTCTTGAAGACATAGACTCCAGATGACTCCAGACAAACCAGTCCTTTTCGCCCCAGGCAAAAGAAGTTCTCGAGAAGAAAAACAAAAAAAACGCCGTCAGGATCGGATCCCGTTTAGCAAGCCCAAGGAGTTTGAAGCTGACGTGACGGGCCTCGAGGTGACCTCCCGGACCGTCTTCCGACAGGAGGACCCCAAAGGAACCATGTGAGTTACTTTGGCCCCGAACGGCCTGTCTCACTCGCAAATAGTTCGGTTTTGCGCTCGCCTTTTGTGAGGGTGCCCATCAAGGTTGCTTTAGTGCGAAACAAAGGGACGCCAGCCGTTTTAGGGGGTATTGGATTCCAAATATTGTGTATTTTGATTACTGTAAAGAACAAAAACAAGCTCTATTGAATTAGATGATACCCCCCATTCTTCGGACACTCTCGAATAGGTTGCGATCAGGGGCTTGAGACTCGCAAATGGTCCTGGCAAACATCCGTAGACTGCAACCATAGAGTAGAATTTTGGACGGCTCGCTTGGGACATAGGAAGCAGATCCTAAAGCGGGCAAGATCCTGTAAACAAACATGCAACAACATGCAACACCCAAACGGTGCAACTAAATCCGACCTTCAGATATGAGTATGATTACTAAATGCAACAATCATTCAAATTTGTACAACCTGCACCCTCACAATTCCCACCTAAAATGGGGCGATTGCCCCAAACCTATGGGTTGAATTCCTTTTTCTTGATGGGTAGTGTGAGGGTCCAAGACTTCCATCCAGTCCTTACGCAGTGTCGGGGTGTTTGGGGCCCCGGCCATCGAGAGTCCCGCTGCCATCGATGTCGAGGATGTCGAAGAGCGAGGAGGCGCTGCTCCTACCCCAAACAAGGCATGTGGGGCTTAGTATGGGGTGACCATTAAGGGGCTTGGATTATAGGCAAATCTAGAGGATGTTTGGCCCCAAACACTTTGAAGAAGCAGTGTTTTTTGTGGAATGTCCTGTAATCCAACCTGTTGACCCTAGGGAAACCACCTCAAAAAAGATATTTGACGACTTTCATGGGAAAGTTAAACCCATGGTCGTTTTGGGCCCGACCGGAATATTGACAACCCCCATGTGTCGAAGGGGGACACAACTCAATCGCCAATGGCAATTTGGGTTTCACAAAGGGTTTCCCGGCCAAATGACCAAAATGGTACCCTCAACAAGGGCACATTTGAAAATGATGGAAGGTTTGCTGATTCGGGAGGTTTGGACTGGAGGCTTGGATTGGTCATCGAATGTGGGACCCGCTTTTGTACCTATCGCTTCTTTTTTGTTTTAATGGTTTTCCCTATTTCAGTGACTGTTTCACGAGGGTCGCTGTAAGCGAAAGTTGTTTATCGGAAAAGATCGGGCAACCAACAACAATACCACAGCCAACCGAGGGGGTCGTCACTTTCAATGGGTGGTGGATCTCAGCCCCTCGCGCTACAGGCCTTAGATTCGGCAATTCCTGTTTTGGCGTGGTGCGACCATCGGTTTTGCTGTTAATTTTGTTGTTAAAAACAAGCCCAAACAGCCTCCCTCCGGAAAGACTACTTGGAAGGATCCCTGCCTGTTTGGAAAGTGCGTAGCTGCCCAAACAGGGCTTGTGCACTTCTGTTTTGTTGGTGGGTATCTTCCCTCACACCGCATGTGATGAGAAATTGAAGGGATCATGCCGTGGCAGTAGTTTACCTCTGAAAGGGGTTCTTCCATTTTCCCAAGGTCACCCCTGCAGGGGGCCACTTGGAGCTAGTGGCAGTCATGCTTGCACCATACTGTTTTCCTCAAGGCGTCACAACCTGGGACAGACTGCCCCCCCCTCCCCTCCCATTCCCCCATTTTGTTGTGGTTTCACATTGTGAAGGGCAGTGAAGAACCAAAGCGGTGAAAAGGTCAAAAAGGAGGCTTCTGGCCAAGAAAGCCTCCAACGTGCTCTCTCTCCCTCTCCACGCACACACCGCAGTGCCCACGAAAGCGGCCACGAATGGGGTATTCCACCCAAAACGCAGTTCGGGACTGAAAAGTCCAAAAAAAACCTTCTAAAACAAAAAATGCCCCTCGAGGTAAACACCAAA